TTAAAAGAGTAGAAACATTCATCTAATTCTTATTTGCGTGTATATACTACATCATAAAATTATTTTTAAAAACGATTAATAAAAAAGTCATATAGAATATAATTGTATATCTATTCTTTTATTGGTGTAATTTTGTTATTGATACTCTAGTATTTTGAAATCATGTTAAGAACTAAAGAATTGAATTAACCATTTTTTGAAAACTGATAAGTTAATTGACATATTACATATAATTGTAACTGATATGTTACAATTGTATAACTTAAAATTAATATTTATAGGAAATGAGAAGAAGACGTAATGAAGTGACAGTAGAACTACGTAAAAATAAACGAGAAGAAACTTTACAAAAAAGAAGAAACGTACCTATCACAGATTCAACAGGTAACATTAAAAATTAAAGTTTCTCTTTTTATGCAATAAGTTGAAATATTACAATAATGTATATTATTTTTTCATGTAGATGAAGATGACATTGATAAACAACTTTCGAAAATCAATTTGGAAGAGTTGGTAGCAAAAGCAGGTAGCTTAGATCCAACAATACAATTGCAAGCTGTGCAATCAGCAAGGAAATTATTATCATCAGATCGTAATCCACCTATTGATCCGTTGATAGATAGTGGTATTTTACCAATCTTAGTTCATTGTCTTGAACAACATAACAAGTAAGAAAAATTTTTTGTGAAACTATGTTATATGTTTCTTATGTTTTTAGATATCTTTATCATATTACTTGTTTGTTGATAATTTTGGAAATATTTTTTAAAATTTAGGTTGTGCATGTGTTAAACTCTATCTTTATGATTGTAGAACTTTATAGAATTATTTTATTAATTAACATTTTAGCCCATCATTACAATTTGAAGCAGCCTGGGCTTTAACAAATATTGCAAGTGGCACATCGGCTCAAACACAAGCTGTAGTTACTGCTGGTGCAGTACCACTATTTTTACATTTGTTGCTTTCAAGTCAACAAAACGTATGTGAACAAGCAGTATGGGCCTTAGGTATGATACATAATTATTTTTAAAAAAGTACTATTCAAGGATATGTTTTTTAAAAATATGTTACTAATTCTTACATGATAGATTCTAAATAATAACGTAATATGTAATATGTGATGTAATAAAGGAATTTGTGTTATATGTATTTTTATTTATTATAGGTAACATTATTGGAGATGGTCCAGTACCTAGAGACTATGTTATTAATCTTGGTGTTGTAAAACCACTGCTAACATTTATTAAACCAGATATACCTATTACATTTCTACGTAACGTAACGTGGGTTATTGTAAACTTATGTAGGAATAAAGATCCACCACCGCCAGTTCAAACCATAAATGAGATTTTACCTGCTCTAAATATGCTTATTCATCATAATGATGTTAATGTAAGTATTATGATTATATAAATATTTAAATAATATTTTATTTATAATAAAGGAAGATATAAACTTGTTGCCAATAATTTAATTATAGTGAAACTGGTTAATGTCTATCTTTTAATCTAAAAAAAACTGCAAAAATTATCATTTATTTCATAGAACTATTTTTCCATTGCACTTTTTAATATAATAAAGTACTAAATTTTATTTATTTTAATTACTTCATTTTTTGCTGATATAAAAGTTATTATTAATTCTAATAATTTTTTAGATTCTTGTTGACACTGTATGGGCCTTGAGTTATTTAACTGACGGTGGTAACCAGCAAATTCAAATGGTTATAGACAGTGGTGTTGTACCCCGTTTAATACCACTTCTTTCGCACAAAGAAGTCAAAGTGCAGACTGCTGCCCTCAGAGCAGTCGGCAATATTGTGACTGGTACGGATGAGCAAACACAAACTGTTTTAAATTGTGATGCACTTTCGCATTTTCCAAATTTATTGACTCATCCAAAAGAGAAAATTTGTAAAGAAGCAGTTTGGTTTCTTTCAAATATTACTGCCGGTAATCAATCCCAAGTACAAGCAGTTATAGACGCAGGACTGTTACCACTCATTATTCGTAATTTAGCAAAAGTAAATATATTGCCTTATATAAATAAATGAAGTATTATTAATATAACTATATATTGTTATGCAATGTTATTTACACTTTGTTTTCATAGGGTGAATTTCAAACACAAAAGGAAGCAGCATGGGCTATTAGTAACCTTACGATAAGTGGTAATAGAGATCAAGTTGCACGACTTATACAAGAGGGTGTTATTGGTCCATTTTGTGATCTTTTATCTTGTAAAGATACTCAAGTTGTACAGGTGGTATTGGACGGAATTCATAATATGCTTAAACTTGCTGGATCGCAAGTTGAACATTTGGCTAACATGATTGAGGAATGTGCTGGTAAATATGCTTTATTATTTCAATAAATTTTTTTTTTCCATATATACGAATGAAACAAATTTAATAAGATAAATGTGTGTGTGTGTGTGTGTGTGTTTATATGTATATTTTTTTATTTAAAGGTTTGGATAAGATTGAGGCATTACAAAACCATGAAAATGTAGATATTTACAAATTAGCATACGACATTATCGAGCAATACTTTTCAGAAGAGGTGAGATATTATAGCTTTTAATAACATTAACATGAATTTTATATAATTACCTCATTGTTTTTAGGCGGATGATGCACCATTGACATCGCACGAAGGAGCTTTTGAGTTTGATCAGACGACGAGTATTCCGAGTGAAGGTTTTAAATTCTGAGAGGGTCTCCATTTCTTATCCGATCGTGCCGTCCCCCGACAAACTCCAATACGGAGCCATCTTGCTTTCTCTTTCCTATTTCTACATCTCCTTCCTATTCCAATGAAAGCATAGCAATATGAACTTACTGCTATTGAATCAATGAATTGCGTTTGTTCTTACAAACATACAGTGTGATTTATCGACTTTTCCGTATTCGGAAAATTAGAACAAAACAAAGGAAGAAAGCTAGTTATGGAATGAAGGATTTGGTAACCACTAAATTGAGCATTGAATTTTGATTTTTTTTCTTTCCCCTTTCTTATCATATATGTTACCTTTATTCTTTTATAATATATGATAAACGCATATTAGCAGTCTTTAGCTGAGCGCAGCTAATTACATAACGTATGTGAGTAAATTATTCTAGAAGTCGAATAACTTCACAATAAGATGTTAAGTTAATGGAAAAAAAAAGGATCTATCGTGCTTGATCATGCTGCTCTCCACTCTAACTCAGGACGAGTCTTGGTTAGCGATATTACTTTTATAAAATAATTCGTGTATATTTTAGGCATGTTAAATTTATAATGATATTGATTACTAAATAAATGAATCAATTGACTACTCTTTGCTAGCATAATTGATAAGTATGGATATTTCTGTAAGGAGCAGACAACCAATAAAATTTCAACGGAAATTCGGTACAACTTCGACCATCATTCGATGATTTTATTTTGATTTATTAGCATTTATTGTTTGAAAAAAAGCATGTAAACTTTGTAAATGATTTTACAATTATACATTTTTTAATTTAATGTCATACAGATATATATAAAATTAAGATTCTTCTTTAAATTCTATCGTGGGATCTGTAAATGAATGTACATTATCTGCATACAATTCCTCTGGAAGCGACTCCTCTGTGATACTTGGTAAATACGTAGGGAAATTTGGCGCTGTTGTAGATTGCCTCAGAGGAAGCAATGTATCATATATATAACAATAAGTATTAATTTCTCCAGGTATATTGTGTCCCAGAACCCAAATCACATTATACTTGGTATTTATTCGTAAAATCTACAAAACAAACCACATTATCAAAAGAAAGAATAGTAAACTGTAGTAATGAACTTCTAAAACAAAACTTATAATCTCAAATTTTGGGATATAAATAACATTTCTTGTTTTTTAAATATATTTCTTTAATTAGAGATAATTTACTTACCTGAACACCTCTAATAATACGCCATCTATTACCCATGTGTCCTGGCATTTTAGTGCCAGGCACAACTCGGGCTTTCTGGCCACCCGACCCGATGTTTCCAGGTCTTCTGTGAGTTTTGGTTTGGCCATGACTGGCAGACATCCCTTTAAAGCCCCATCGTTTCATGACACCTTGGAACCCACGATCAATCCTAAAAAAATTAACATAATTCAATTTTTTAAATAATAAAATTAATTGATATGATCATTCTATTTTTTCTTTTTATAAAATAAATACATGTAACAATAATATGACAAAATAAAAATTATTTACGTTTTTCCGCGAATATCGACAATTTCTCCTGGTTTAAAATGTGTAGCAAATAAACGAGTTCCTGGTTGCAACGCTGCTTCTGGAGATACTATAAATCTTCTTAATACACGTTTTGGCGTAACTCCAGTATTATTAAAAATATTATAATATTCTTTAGTAATCTATACAAAAAGATACTTTCAATTTCACATGATATAAAAAAATTATCGCATGTAGTTTTTTAATTACATACTAATTGCGGATCTATATTTTCTGCTCCTACTACAAGACATCCGCGTCTGTTTTTTATTTGTATTGCAGGTTTTTTACTTTTTACTGGAAAAAATTGTTCTGGTGGTATGTATTTTACTATTTCATTGTCAACAACCTAAATTAAAGTATAGAACATAATTTTATATAAATATATGTGTCTATATAGAATAAAATAGTAATTAAAGTGATAGCAGACGATGCTTGTTAAAGGCTGCTCCATTTACCTGAAGTAATGTCGAACTAACTCTTTTTCCATTTTTTAACCATAATGGATATACTCCTATTTTCTTGGCGATTAAACCAGTACGTTTCATACCTTGCTTCCACTGTATAGTAGGTTCAATTAGATCTATTTTCAAAGGAGAAAGTTTTGTTTCAAATCCGATAGTGGATGGGTATTTGTCTTGAACTACTTCATCAAGAAACTGCTTATTATCTTTTGTTAGCTGTTCATCATACAACTGCAATAAAAGCATTTTTATGTATTTTTGTGCTATTCTCATATTTAAATATTACATCAAGAATAAATTATTTATATGTTAATTACATACAACACGTAGTGGTTTTGGAAGCCATTCTGGATGACGATATCTAGGTTTAGGTATATATTTTTCTCGTTTTGGAACAGATATATTAATACTGCAAGTTTACAAAAGTATAAAATGTTATAAAGACATATATATAAGAGTAAAACCATAGTGATGTAAATTACTTAATTATGATTTCAAGAAACAAAAATTTTTTTACACATTTACTTCAGTAAATGACCTCAAATCAGTTAAAAAAAATTACACTATTGCTTTCATCCCTCCATATAAATCTATATATTTACATTAATATTCTATATAAATATAAGTATATTAATATGTATATTAATAAAATATTATCTCAGGCTCTTCATTTTTATTTATCAAGTACAACTAAACTCTTTTATTTACACATCTTGTTTTAATTATTTTGTACTTGTATCATTTATCTTGTTTTAATTATTTTGTATTGTATCGTTTGTAAATATAATAAAATATATTAGCTTAAAATATAAAATATAAAAGCTTTAATAATATTATATTTTATTACAGCTAATTCGTAATATAATACTTACAAGCTGAAAATGAAACATTAAGAAAATCATTAAAGGATTACATTTTTAAATCATATCTCTGCTTATTTATATAAAGAAATTTACAAGAATTTATATCATATAGTATTTTTTATTTCAGGAATATGCAATTTCAATAAAACACCAGATATATGTATATTTAAATAATTCAGCACGCGTGTAAAGTGAAATAATATATTCTGCACCTACATGCAAAATATTACAAAACAACCATAACATACCTTTGTTTCAAGCATTTGTGAAAAAGTTGAAATCCATTAATCGTCTTTAAAAGCGATGTCATTGTTAACGCGATCTCGCAATTGTTCTTTTAAAATCACAAATATTAAGTAATTATCAAGTAAATCTAAAAACGGAGTTCTGGGAAATTCAAACATCAAGGTGCATTCTGAATTGCATGAATAAAGTCAATAGATTTATAAAGGTTGTATTTCGATAACTGTGTCTAGAATGTAGAGAAACCTGAGAGAGGACGCCCAAAACTCGTAACCGCAAAATGCTGCCATGCACTACTGCCCTCTAATAAAGTGGATGTAAACTATATAGCAACGTCCATTTTTTTAGAGTACATCATTTCCAGTCTTGAAAAATGGACAACATATCGAATTTGTCACTCAAATGTCAAATTTAACAGTTATTGCTCTTTTTCATATAAAATTGTTGTTCTAAGGCTGGATTTTCACTTTACGCTATGACGCTCATTTTCAAAACAAATTCAAAACATGATCAAAATTGATGAATATCAAGCGTCATAAAATTGATTCTCAAATTCATAAAATAAATTTTTTTTTATTATAATTTTATATTCTCGTGTATCCTCTGAAATATGATGTTAATCAATAATATTTATTTTCACAATAAAATTTCAATAAAACTTTAATGAATTTTCTCCACTATTACGCTATTAGTGACACTACTTGTCGAATTTATTTATTGCATTAGTTTATTGCACTAGTAGTATATTTTATGTTGACTAGATCAAAAGATTTTATTTCTAATTTGAAAATTAAAGTCAAAAATCCATCGAAATCAATAGAAATTTCGAAAACTTTTGATTTTTATTTTCGACATTGAAACGACATCTTTTCGAGAAATTATTACTATGGGTGTATTCGGGAAGACACTTCGCGCTATGGACGCAAACGCTATCAATGCTATTCTTCGAGCCAATAACGCGATAGCAAGCTCCATGAACTAGCGTAGCGTTGATAGCGTTTAACCAGAGATATATTCATCGAGATTAAGTTAATGTAGGAGATTCTGTTTTCAATCATCAACCAAACTTTTCCCTATAATTAAAATTTTTAAGGTTTTGTAAAGTATTTGTAACGTAAATTTTTTTATTTTCTATAGTGAATAACAGAACGCAACCTCAATTGCAATCTCTATGTGTAATCTAGCTTGCAGCTAGGCCGAAGTGAAAAATGTAGAAACTAGATCAAAAAATTAATAGTAACATTAAGTAAATTAATCAGATAAAAGAACTTTTAATCATTGTCGATTATTAGAAGAAGAAGCATACCTACATCTAATAAGGATCTTAAGCATCTGCAGCGGAATCTCTGACGCGTTATATTGCAATAATAACTTTTTTCCGTACACGGGAATTAAAAATTGTCAGTAACAAGATACCTTTGTCTTTCACATTTATAATGAAATCAAATACACAAGTTGCATTTCGCAGAAATTTTGAAAAGTTAAAGATGATACACAAGCAAGAATTACGTTCACTCTAGCCTAGTGGCAAGCATCAGTTGCAGAGATTGAAATTGAGATTGCATTCATTATGATAAAATTTGAAATTCACATGTTATTTACTCTACGAAATTCTAAAAAAAGAAAAATTTGGTGATCAAAAACGGAATCTCCTCAAACAATCTAACCTTGATGAATGTTAAACGCTAGCAACGCTACGCTAGGGTCGTTCACAGAACTGTAAACGCTAACGCTATCAATACATTATTTCGGAAGAAATAGCGTTGATAGCGCGCAGTTGTGACGTAACATCCTATCATTAGTGACGTCATGATTGTGTTTGTAGTGCTATCTGCAGCTCCGCGAACAGTTTGTAGCGCTAAATAACGCGAATAGCGTTTTCTCGAACGCACCCTGTGTCTTATACAAGTGTTTCAACTATAACATAGTGTTACACTGCTTGACACAGTAAAAAGTTAAGTACGAGCGTGTAAAATATGTCAATGTCACCAACTTTTCAAAAAGTTATTTAAAATTTTATTGCAAAATAAGTACCCATACTTATTTTGCAATAAAAAAAACCTTCAAAAATCGTCAATTCTGAAAAAATTATAACTTAAGTCTAAATAAAAATCATAAATCTATTATTGCGCTAAATATAATTATAAGAATAAAATGGAAGACAATGCATTCTGTTATACTATAAAACTAAACTGTGTTCCAACAAATACTTTACAGTGGAACACAATGTAATGTCTCTGTGTCCTAGCTAGAAAACAGCCATTCTACATTGGTCGTAGCGTCGGAAGCATTGTAAGCATCATGCGACTTTAAAATTGAAGCATCGGATTGGCTGAAGCAACAAGTTTGTGACATACGACGACCAATGTAGAATGGCCTATAGAGTGAGTATAATGAGTGGCGCCAATGTATGTGTCTAACGCTGATTGGTTATGTCATTAGGTACCTTATTGTTAGAAGAAGAAAACGTTAAAGAAAGAGAAAGTTAAGACAAAGAATTGCGTCATATAGATACCTTAGATGTAGGATATCAAATGGCAACTTCCGGCTAATTGACGTCACTCTCTTTATATCCACTCTATCCTGTCATTCCTGTCGACTCTTAATACATATGGGAGAATTCCGTTTGCCTACAATTCCGATTCCATACATCACTCAGCTGGTGTCTAATAATTTTTTACTGTTTTACCAATGAGAATATTTCATTTTAAATTGGCTGATTAGCGATGCACGTGTGCAATCGGAATTTTCTTTTAATACATTAAATATAATAAGAAATCAAATTATCGATTACCATACACTATACAATATTTGTAAGACATTTTTTATTATGCTAAATTTATTTTTTACTTTGGCACAAATATATGACTACAAACATGGGCCGCATTGAGTGGTACATATGCATTACAGTTAATAAAATTCTTTTTTCTGATTGGTCATTCAAAAGTTTGAAACATTTGTAGCGTCAAGTGGATCACACTTTCTATACAGGGTGTCCCACGTAACTGTGATCACGATTTTTCTGGCACTTCCGATGATCTGACAAAAATTAGTTTGGATAAAAGTTAATCAGTTTTCAGCTATAAATTGCAATATTAAAAATTTGCAAAATACTCTTTTTTTTTAGAAAAAAAGTCAAGGTCACTCTAATTTTTTTAAATGGTACTACATATTCTTTATTTCATAATTGTAACTAGTGTCAAAGTTCAATGATCTGCTATACTGTGATCTTGAAATGACCTTACAGTCAGATATGAAAAGAACAAAGCCATTTCAGAATTCGTGATATTCCCGAATGTAATTCACACTGTATGTAGTATGTATGTAGAAAAAATATTAGGTGTAGTAAAAAGAAATCCATTATTTTTCCATTCAATTTCATGCAAAATGGATTTCTTTTTACTACACCTAATATCAACATAACTTGTAATATAGCGTGGCTCAAACGCTTCAACAGTTCTTGTGTTCAGTCTTTGTTGTTAGAGCAAATCATAATTTAGTCTCAGTTTGTCGAATATTCCTATAATAAGAAAGTTGATATGCTGTTAATATTCGATGAATGTAAAAGAAATGCACGTGAAGTTGCAATTCTGTGTGCCACAGAGATATTACCCGTGTGCAATAATATTTTATAACATTGAAAAGAATTTAAAAAATTATAGAGAATTTGAAAGAAGAAAAGAAACAAATTTTAAATACAACTTTAAGTACTGCAGACAATACTCTTATGGTCTTAGCATTAGTCTTGAGAAGAAAATCTGCACACTTCCATTCGTGCAGTTGCTACTGAAATTGATTTATCTAAGATTTATCTTTTGTTCATAAGATAGTAAAACAGAATCATTATCATTCTTACAAAATGACCAAAGTACACTTACGTATAACTGATTCACGTCGTCTAAATTTTATAGCATAGTTTTATAACTAGTTGTCACATATGAAAGTAATCCTGAAATATTACAGAATATCCTATGGACAGATGAATGTAAGTTCTCAAATAATGATATAATTAACCATCATAATCATCACTTTTGGGCGAAGGATAATCCTCATTGGTTCCGAGAACATAATTTTCAACAGAAAGTTACAATGAATGTTTGGTGTGGTCTAGTATATCATGGTCATCTGATTGGACCTTACTTTTATGTACAGAATTTGACAGCCCAACTGACTTGACTTACTTAAATTTTCTTCGTTCTCAACTTCCAACATTATTGCAAGTGCTTCCGAATGATGTTGTGCAATGTATTTATTTCCAACAAGATATGATTGTCCATCTCATAACGCTTGGATTGTTCAATATCTAAATTCAAAATACAGAGAACATTGATTGGGCACTTACGTACCGATTCCTTGGCTACTTCGATCTCCCGACTTGTTATTAGATTTTTTCCTATGGGGTCATTTGCAATCAATCTACACGGTATCAATTCAAAATATGGAACATTTAAAGCAGCGAATCCGTACAATATGTGAAGAAAGTCGCCGTGACAGCATTATAGGAGCAACCCAGTCAGAAATAGTTCCTTGAAAAGACGTCGTTTCAATGTCGTTACGATGAAAAAGTTATCGATTCGAAATTTTAACATTTTCGAGTGATAAAAAATTACATATGTAGAGAGTGCAATAAGAGTTTGATACATTTTTAATATTTTTGATATAAACATGTGATATGTAATCTTATATTTTGAATATTTTTGTTCAAAGGTCGACTCGACATTTTTTTTTTATTTTATTTCGACAATTGCAATATCGCTCTAATCACCAAAGCTTTCTCAAAATTTTTCAGAATTTATAAATAATTTTATAACTTTTTAGAAAATTGTAGAATTTTTTTATATCGAATCAGAATATTTTTTACAATTGTCGATAAAATTTATCTTTTCTTCTAGTAATAATTCTAATAATTCTATTCTTATTTTATTGTTCTACTCCTGCTGAATAACATTTTTATTTGTATTTATAGTTTATTTAATAATCTTAATATATACGTCATTTTTGTATTGAGGAATTTCAAGGAATAATGTCTCTTATCATAAATGCTCAATCAAAAATAATTTCTTAAAAAGACGTCGTTTCAATGTTGAAAATAAAAGCCGAAAGTTTTCGAAATTTCTATTGATTTCGATGAATTTTTGGCTCCAATTTCGATCACGACA